AAATAAAATCTATTATTGTAAAAGAAAATGATCGTGGATATATTTACATTGAAGCATTTAAGCCAAATCATATTAAAGCAGCATGTGAAGATATTCGTACATTAAATATTCAAAATCTTCAAATAATACCTATTAAAGAAAGATTCATGAGTACGTGTTAAACATGGAATTTATCGAGATGATTTAGCTAAAGTTGTACATTGTGAATTAGTACAAAATATGATTACAATTAAATTAATACCACGAATTGATTATACGAAAAAACATGGAACATCAAATCATTAACATGATATTTTACTTTTAAAGGATCACAAGCAAATTATTTGATGAAGGAGCCATCATGTAAGATACATAGAAGATTTTTCTTGATAAACCCTTTTTATTTTTAGAGATGCAGGTGGACAAATTAAAAGAGCTATGAATACAGCATATTTGAAGGTGGAAAATATGATCATAAAGGTTTTCTTATTAAAAATGTTCCCTTTCATGCTATTGTAAGTTACAAAAATATTTGTAAACTTGCTGAAGTATGCTTTTCATTGTCTTTGCTATTGAATTCTAATCGTTATTAACTAATAGTTTAATCTCTTTTTTCGTATTTTGAGAAAGAAATTCAGTTGTATAAATGACAATAAATCTTATTACATGAAATTCTAAATCGTAACATATGATCTTGTCAAGCGACGATTAATTGTATAAAACTCGATTTATTCTTTCATTTGAATTTCTATTTTTAAGAAATATTTTCTAATACATATATGTGATAATATATTATTTAAATTAAAAAAAATTAGTTCACAGATGGTATAAGTGAGTTAGATAAATTTGAAGAAACAATTGATGGATCTAAAAACAACGGTAAGTTTAATTTTTAAATTGTTTTGTTTTTAAATAAATTTCAATAATTAAAACAAAAACATCAAAAAATGATTTATTGTCATTTTCATCGGGTGATCCTATTGAAGTATGTGAAGGTGAACTAATAAATCTACAAGGTATAATTTTTGATATTAATAGAGATTCAATAAGAGTTTTACCAAAACATGAAGCATTCAAAGATGAAATTCTACTCAAAGCCAATGAAATAAGAAAATATTTTTCAATTGGAAATCATGTTAAAGTTTTAAATGTAAGATTTGAAGGTGCAACTGGAATGATTGTTGGAATTGATGGAAGAAAAGCTATTGTTTTGAGTGATGGAACTAAAGATGAAGTTAGTCAATAAATTTTAAAAAAGACGCTTATTTTTTTAAATTTTATTAGATGTCTGTTCAAATATCAGATCTTTGAATTTGTAAAGAAACATCTAAAAGTGTTAATTCAACTGGACAATTTCAACTTAAATATTTAGTTAATATACCGTATGTTTCTATTAAAAGAAGGAAATGAGAATTTTTTTTTCTATTGTTAACAGATCAGATCAAGTTGGTATTGTTATACGTATTGAAAGAGAACATTTACAAATGAATGTAAAAGTTCAAATAATTCCAATACAATCAGTAACAAAACAAAAAAGAAATCGAAATACAACAGCATTGGATTCATAAAATAATAATTTATATGTTGGAGATATTGTTCATGTTATTTGATGGGCTATTTGCAGTAAGAATTAAAAAAAATCAGTTTTTTCTTTCGTTTTGTTTCAAGAATCATCATGATCAAATAAAATATATCGTGATTTTGTTTTTATATTTTGTTGTACATTAACTGAAAATAGTGGTTTATTTGTATCTAAAGCAAGAAATTTATTATTAACTAGTGGTCAATCAAAAGTTTCTTCATCATTACATTTAAATAATCCAGTATCATATGATCGACGAACATCTAATTCAACTGAAGGAATAAAAATACCATTTTCAACATTAGATAATATTCGTCGTGATACAAATTTAATTGGACAAACAGTTAGAATTTCACAAGGACCTTATAAAGGTCATGTTGGAATTGTTAAAGATGCAACAGTATCAACATTTAAAAATGAACTTCATACCAAATGTCAAACAGTTACTGTTGATAGAAATCAAATTATACCAACAATTTTTGTTTTCTTATCTCAATAATCGATAAATGAATTAGTAATTTTTCCTTTGTTTAGAAATGTTGCATGTCAAGACAGTCAAAGATCTAATTATTTCACAACATCTAATTATGGAAGTATGGTACGAATAGATTTAATTAAATCAAAATATGTTTAATTCCTCTTTTTAGACACCTCATCATGACGGTTCAATGACTCCATATGCTCATGGTGATGCATCAGCTTAGAATCCAACATATGCAGCAAACACCTCAGTTACTTACTATTTCATTCTTTTTTATTTTGTTGATACCTATTATCATAATTTAGAATTAATTATGATGACGATAATAATTCATCAACGTTTGTAATATTTAATCCTACTACATCTTCATATAGTCATTTAACAGATACATTATCAAGTGGTTTTGGAGGAAGTTCCAATATAACAGGTTTATCATCAATTTCAAATTCTTCATCAAAAATAATATCAGGTTCTGATTCATTATATGATTCTATTGGTGAGCCAGTAAATATAGTTTCAAATGTGTTAGCTAGTACTTATGCTGTATATTAAAATCATCCAACGTCATCATCTTCTATGCCAATGGATTAGTAGAGTAAAACAAAAAACTTTAAAATAATAAAATTATTTATTATTATGTTTTTTTAATAGCATACAATATTCATAAACCAACACCAGGTACGACAGTTGGTAATTTTGTTTTAATTAACAAATGCAATTTATTTGTATAATGTATAGTGTTTTGTTCAAAATAAAAGATTAACTAAAAAATATATATGAATCTTTTCATTTCTTTATTTACGAGCTTCGGACACTAACTTGTGTCATCATCAGATATAATAAAAGAGAGATTTTACAATATATATATATAAACAAGACCAAAGCTGCAGCCTAGCTTGGTCGCCTACCTATGATTTAACATTAGTTTTACTATAGGACTTCAAATATTAGATGGTACTATATGTTAATAATTTTATACATGAACCATCGTCTTTTATAGATGATAGACAATCTGCAAGAACAAATGAATATAAGAAAGAAAATAATAATTATGAGTAATGTATTGCATGGCAAATACAGAAAAACAAAGCTTTTTTCTGGTTAAAAGACAGCTCTCTTCTTTTCGTACATTTTCTTTGTAAATTAACTAACAGTTTAAATTAAGCAATATATACTAACGGCTGTTGTGTTTTTTTTAGCGAGTTTTCTGCATTATCTATATTACAGAAAATCAACAAATATTAATGTCTTCTCATTTTCCTCTTCGTTAGAACCATTGTCATATTATTCTACGAGAAATAGGCTTTCAATTTTTTCAAGATTTTAAGTTGTTTTACTGTATTGTTCGTTGGTTTTATCTTCAATAAGATATTTAGAATCGCTTCATATTAGAAGAGAGAAATATCAGTAGCTACTCTCGAAATATTTGAAAACTTTAATCATTATATTTTTCTTTCCATTTGAAATATCTCTGATAAAAACAGAAATAGTCAATTGCGTCCGTTCTCATCTTAAATTCGACAATGGAAATGCATGAAACAGTCTATGAACGCAATAATTTAATTCTTGCCTAAATCGCTTAGTTTTCTCAAAGATTATTAGCTGATAATATTAATAGTGTAAGCAACCAAATAACCTATGAAAATATTTCAAAAACAAAAGTGCTGTTGCCTTTCATTAGCTGTCAGAATTGGAAAGATAAATTTATCAAATAAAAATCCAGCATAAATACATTTGACGTGAGACATATGTATGGTTAATAGCGAAGCAAAAGATTTTAGTCACTTTGTTTGTGTAAAATAAAGCTCTGTCTTCTTATGAGGCTTTTTCTAACACAAATATCGAGCAGAATCAGTGGATTGTACTAATGGGAACTTGGAAAACAATCATTATGAATCATTTTTCCTGATAAAAATGGGTTCTGATTGGTCTGTATTTTAATATTCTTAAAATTCCAATTCCTTCAATGTCGAAATTTTGAGATGAAAAATCTTTACACCGAATTTAACTTTTACTGATTAGTTAACTTTGCATGACCATAGTAAATATATTCAACATGATCAGAGGTCTTTATTATATTATGAGAAAGTATGAGTTCAAAATTTAGAACTTAGATTTTGATGACAACTAGAAATTTTGTCCGTTAAAAACTTCTGTGGGCGTGATTCTTCTCAGCATCACACTCACACAGACACCCAAAACTGTCGGGCTGCTTTTATAACGAAGTGCAGTACACTTCTATTCTGATTAATGCTTGATTTATGGTGTTCGCTCTATTTTATTTTCTGTTTTGTTTTGTATCATTCTAAATGTCTCCAATATTATTTAAGCATAACTATTCGAAAACTGATGCAATCACATCAGCATTTATATAAATGATATGAACGTGGATGTTCTCTTCACCGACCCTCACACTTAAATTTTTAGTTTTTTTTCTCTTACGTTAGTAGAATTTGTCGATCAATCAAAATTTGATTTCGATTAACTTTTTGTTAGTCAACCAAATGTGATAAAACTTAAATGGGGAAGATTTCAACATCGAATGTCGGTGTGGGCGTGCAGAAGGATCTTTACTTTACTGAGACCCGCATCCTTAATCATGTAAGTCTTATCTTTACTCTGACCTAATATAGTTCTTGATTCCCATGGCATAAGTATATGTATATATACGATGAAAGAATTCAATTAATCATCTTTTGAGAGATCGCGTTCTGTGAAAAAAGCTTTTTGTTCAAAATGGATGTGATGTTAATGAAAGTGAACTATTTGCTACTGAATGAAGAAAACAGTATTATATTTTTCATCCGAAGAACTTTGAATATTTACGTCGCTCACTAGACAAACGAAACATGTTAAACTTCTTCAATCGGCAGCACTTTTAGATTAATCACTTATTAACAAGACTAGTCAGTCATTCCTAGTGTCCTAACTAGACACAAAAACAATTTACGACACGTAAATCAAATGAAAATGAATGTTTTCGATATGCAATAAAATATTAAGAACGTGAAATTATCGAAAGTGTTTATATTAGGCGTTCATTCCATGGTGAAAGTACAGTCTTTGCTTCTGCAATGTGGGCAGAATACCATAACAATATAATCTTCAGCTTTTTCTTTCCATTACAGGGCAAACGTAGAAGTAGAAGAAGAAGCTGATGTAATTTTCACTCGACTTTTGGCTTTGCCAAATTTAGATTGCCTAGCAGTTGGTTCATTCACGTTTCTTCTTCGTTTTTGACTTGAAACATATCCCAAACGACACTCATCTGTCCTTTGCACACAAACACCATGAGAACTTGGGACTAAGTCATAGATCTGTTCAATTCCTATGGTATACAAGATTTTACCAGCTTCTATGTCCTATACAAAAAAGTTCACATATATTGATATTTTGCATCTACACTGTGCGTTTTTACCCTTTCAAATACGGTCACGTGGATATCCTTATCAATTGAATAAATAATATCTAAACTTTCACCACTACGAGCTCGCATCACATTCAAGGCTGCGAGAAATCAAGTAAGTTTACTACTCGTCTTAAACCGATGTTATTTTACACAATGTAGTTGGACCGAACTTGAATTTAATTTCACACTATAATTATCAAGTTATATGAAACGGAAATTATTTTATTTAGCAATATCACACATTCTCACTCGATTGCGGTGCTTGAGTCATGTAGATATTGACTTCGATGCATTTATTGATGAGTACAGTCATTTTTCCTTCTCTCCTACACAAATATTCATTTAGACATGGACCACCAGGATGCTGTCCGAATCGGGTCACATGCAGGCCAGTCCTCACTAAACACAACGTCTCAAAAACTTCTGCTTGGACTTTGACAACAACTAAAGAATAATAATCCAAACTTCTGTACACTTGTAAGGACTATCTATTACTGTGCTCACATGTAATGGCC